TTAAAGCCTTATGACTTTTCCACTACACTGCCATACGTTCCCATACTCATACTCATTAACAACAACATTTGTTGGGAATAAGAACAGTACAAATCCAGGACTTGTACAGTAGAAACCACCAATATATGAACGTGACTCATCGGGTGCCGAACATATCTCAGACATGCTAGCAGTAATGTTTTACTTGTCTTGTACATTCGATGCAGCGGTAAATGTACTCACACGTAGGTTTTTAAGCATCCGGTCTAAAATGCGCCATCTGTGATGTAAAACTGCCTAGGTATTGGACAAAGATGGACATATGACGCTTGTGTACTAGCTTGTTACTTATTTTTATTGGTAGTCAGTAGAGTTCGTGTTTTAGGAATTTATTTTATTTTATTACATAGTAAGGCAACCAACTTTACCGTCGGCCATTTGTTTTTATATGTCATATGATCTTTGTTTTTGCATATCGTGTTTCTGCTGTGTGTTTACGGATTAATAATCGTTTTAAACGTTGTAGTGGCAGTGGTTTATATTATGTAACACAGGTAGATGTCGTATAAAAATCCTTACCTAGAAATTCTAGGCTAGAATACAAAAATATTTTTATTATATAAATTTTGTACTAGTATTAGTTTAATACATTCTGAAGAAGCTACTGTGTAGCGAAACAATTGTCAATATTTAATAAATTTCGTGAAACTAACGCAAGTTGTTTTTATATCCACACAATTTAAATATCTTTCACTTTGTACCTGACCTGCGTAAACATTTTTGTTTTTTGTCACCAATTCTGAAATATTTGCGTTTACAGTTAAAAGAATGGTATATTCTGTAACAAGTTTGACGGTTTCACGACAGGGGAATATGCAATTCCAAACGTGTTTCAGACTATACTTTTTCTACGTTTCCAAAAAATACCATAGACAAAGAATTTAATTGGAAGAAAGTGAGGTTGGATCGGTCTAAAAATTTGTTAGATATTAAAACAGAGATGTCGCCACGAGTGTACGTTCTGTCATCAGATGATAGAATATTTCATTAAAGTTAAAAGAAAAGTTTATTTATTAATTAGTTTCTAAGAAAATTACATTTTATTTAATTATCGTAGATGTTAATTATTAAAATTTAACTTTAAAAGCAAATATATATGTCATCAGATGATAGAATATTTTATTAAAGTTAAAAGAAAAGTTTATTTATTAATTAGTTTCTAAGAAAATTACATTTTATTTAATTATCGTAGATGTTAATTATTAAAATTTAACTTTAAAAGCAAATATATAGCAGTATAGCAACCAACATTACACTCAAGATTTTTTACAAACAGGACTGCACTGGACCGTGACCTTCGATAGATTGCTTCGTACGAATGTGTCGGATGAGTCACGTTCATATATTCGTGGTTTCTACTTTACTGTTTTTATTCTCAATGCTTCACAGTAAGCACTAACATACACCTTAACAAGCCGATTTTAAAAATGTTCTTCTACTTCTTCGATGCTCCTTCGAATTTAAAAAAAAAAATGGCTATTTCAGATAAAAATGTTAAATTTTGGACTTGTACTGTGTTACGTTCCGAAAATGCTAGGAGCATATATTTTATTTTTAATTTTTGTTCAAAAAGTTAATATTGGTTAAGATTTCATTATTATAATCCTATAGATTTGTATGGATAATATAACGCCGTCTGTTGACGGGAAGTTCAACCAACGCCATCTAGGTCTATAGTTTCGTAGTTTTTGTTTTTGAGGTTAGGCGATTTTGAAAAACGTTGGAAAACGTTTCAACGCGTTGGTTGTGCTGGCTGTCATCGAATTCAGAAAAGGCTGTGTATTTTGCCTTCCGATATTAATTGTGATATAATTCGAATGCAGCATAAGAATACGTAAGGATTGGGTGTAGTATTTTGTTACTGGTATCCTCGTATTCGCGGATGATTCCGGATTAACTTTCAACCTTCTTGGTAAGCCATCTTGTCACATTGTTTTTTTTTCAAGTATAACCGTAATCCTTTCTAGCCTTAATTCACAAAGACCGCATAAAACACCGGTTTTCTGTCTCCAAATTTCATCGAAGCTTAAGAAGTTCGCTAGTAAGCCTGACTGAGACATAAACCTAAGCGTAGGTTTTCTTATGGCGAAATTTCGCATAGTTAACCATAAACCTTGTTCTTCACCAGGGTCCTTCGCCGGGGTTCTTTACTAGGGTCCTCCTCTGGAGTTTCGATTAATCATTGCTTCCCGAGCACTCTGTCCAGGCTTCTGTCAGTACATACACTGTCTACCATTGGAGCCTCAATAAGTCTGAGTGGTTCCAACCCTAGTATCCTGCCTACAGAGCGATTGCAACCGGACCTTAAGGGCGTAGATAAGTACCCTTGCATTTATTAGTCAACAATTGTTATTAAAGTTATTAAAACCAGATCGAAACCATTCAGGTGTTGTTCTTAGTAAATTGTGTATACTAAATATTTATCAAATATCGATTTAGTAGTCTAAACCCATTTTAATTGTTGTAAACCTTTTCGTGGCCACCAAAACGGTATTTTCACTTAGTTGTATCGAATAAAAACCAAGGACGTAATGAAATAACAACGAACAAAATTAAATAAACCAATATTAACTGTTTTCTTGTTGTATTATTCTGAACCCGTAACAACTGTTCTTATTCTCACCGATTCAAGTATTTTCATATTAATTTTATTGTTGAAACCATTAGCGTAAATATTGAAGATAATTTTAATTTCCTTTCAAAAATTAATATAAATATCACCTTTTTACAATTTAAATTAACTATTATTCATTTTAGGTTTGTTTTTGGAATTTTGGCATTTCACGCCAAGCGGGCAACTTTGAAAGCAAAGTTGTTTAAATTTGCTTATATTTGGGTATGCTGTACTCCTATGGGGTCTTAGCATTGACATAAAACCTGCTAGGGGTTTTTACATTTTAAAGGAAAATTAAGTTAAAGAAGAAATTATGGTCCAGTGTTATTTTGCTGAGAACTACAGTTTTGTAGTTCAAGATGCTACCCAATCTTTTCACTGGAACAACAATCAAGCCACCCTTTTAACATGCATTTTTTAATAAAGAACGAGAAGTAAAACAGAAAGGCATTGTGATTAGGGTTTGCAATCCGGAAAACCGAATCCGGTAATCCGGCGGATCCGGCATCATTAAACGTCGACCGGTTCCGGCAAGAGTTTGCCGTATCCGATAACACGCCATTAGTTTCAAACTGACAGTTAGTCTATCTGACAGATAAATTGCATATAGATAGTTGTGAGAGCAATGGTATCCATGGAGATTATCTGCCAGATAACTAACTGGAACGTTAACCGGACATTGATAAACCGGCCCTAAGTAAACAAATGTGTGTTTTTGTCGCTGCGTCGCACAGTAGGCTAGAGCGCGCTTCCAGCGCGAAGAAATTCAAAATAAGTAAGTGTTTTATTTCTACCAAATTTAGGGAAGTTTAAATTCTTTAATATTTGTAGATAATGAAACATCTTTAAATCACCTTCAAATCTGTTGAATTTTTATCAGGTAACCAGTCAAACTTTAGGAATTATAATTAGTTGCTTCGTGTTGATAAATTGCGCGTTAAGGTATTGCTTCTCTTAGAATGTTTATTATTAATTTATTCTAACTTTTTGACTATAATTGTATTAAATACTGTAATACGTTATGGCTGGAACGAATAATGGTAAGTTTTTATTATTATTGTACTGTACTACCTTAATAAAGTAACCGCTGCATACTTTTAATGTATGTATGGACATTATTAAGGTTTTAAAAAATGTCACGCACTGTCACACTCTGTGTTTAGGTTTTTTTAATAGCTTACCGTTCTGTCTTTCAAATAAATCTTAAATCAAGTGCTAGTAGGCGCAATAAATATGGTTTGTTTATTTTGTAAAAAGTGTTTTAGTTGAAGCATTTCAATATAAAATTAGTTTTAAATTACTTAGGGCCGGTTTTTCAATCGTTGGTTAAGTTTATCTTACGGTTAATTTCCTTAGATACTATTGTTAACACAATAGTATCTAAGAAAGTTAACCGTAAGATAAACTTAACCAACGATTGAAAAACCGGCCCTTAGTAGACTTTGCATTTACAAAAATAGATGTATCTCGGAAAAAACTTAATTCAATTTTTTTTTAATATAGAAAACCGCTGGAAGCCCAGAAGAAATATCATTGTATTAAATAATGTCATACGTTGGTGATGGAAACCATCAATTAAAAAGCTAAGTAGCTAATAACAATAAATAATTTGGAATTAATTACTATTACTATTAACTATTAGTGAATATTAATAATTTTTGCCACCACCGCGGTAGGCTAGAGAGCGCTTTCAGCGCGCGAAAATTTAAAATGAGTAAGTATTTATTTCGACAAAATTCACTGTATTCAATACTGTCATACGTTATGGCTGGAACACATAATGGTAAGTCTTTATAATTATTGTACTGTCCCTACGTCAATAAAGAAAGCACTGCATATTTTTGATGTATGTATGAACAATCAGTGGCGGCTGGTGGATTTTATATATATCAATATCTCAGTTATTAGACATGGGACCCACACCAAATTTATAATAGTTTATAATGACATTAAGGCCCGGTTGTACAAGAACGACTTAAACTCGAGTTTAAATAAACTTAACTTTGTTGAGAACCTGGTTCAAAAACTGTAAACCGTTGTACAATTGATATTTGAGTGACGCTTAAATAATCCAAGTTTAGTATATATTTTTTCATGTTGGCAGAATTAGTTATGAATTTTGACAGAAGTTTGAATGATTGAAAATATTTTTGACGTTATAATCTAAATATTTGAAGTAAGTAAAAGCATTATTTTTTATAACAATTTGCATACCCTACAGGTTCGTTATATATAATTTATGCCCTGATATTATTTTGTAATAAATAATTTAATTCAAGATATGTCGACATCCAGTAAACGAGGCCCAAATTTTTCTTCCAAAGAATCAATCAAAACAGATAACAATATGAACAAATTAAAATTAAATACTTGGAAAAATATTGAAAAAGAATTCAATTTCCAGTTAGGGGAGACTTACAGAGATTCTTTATGCCTAAGGAAGAAATATGAGAATTTAAAGAAAAAGACAAAAAAAAAGGCATCTAGGGAAAAATGTCATGCTTTGGAAACTGGTGGAGGGCCACTAAAAAAGGGTCTTGAGTTGACAGATGTAGATGTGGAATTGAGGGAAATTTTGGGATGTAGAATAGATGGTTTAACAACAGAATATGGTGGAGATTCAGGTAAAATTAAAAATATATTATTTTTTAAAATTTATATAAAAAATGCTTTCTTTAAGTTATCGTTTTTGAAGAAACTAAAGCCTATGAAATTTTAAATAAAGTTTTAAATGACGAGCAAAGCATTGGTAAGGCATATTTTAAATTGAAATTCTTATTAAATATTTTATAAAATTCCTAATTAGAATTACCATCGCCACCAAATGAAGAATTACCATCGCCACAAAATGAACCCCTTCCACCTACTTCGAAGGCAGATGAAACTATTATAACTGCAGGTGATTTTAATGAAGAAAAAAACTGCATTATTTTATTACCACTTATTTATAGATATTGAGGCATCAAAAACAAATAAGAACCCGTTGAGACCACGTTAGACTTTGTATAGGTAAGGAAAATCAGGCTATTTAAATTTAAATTTTTTACAGCTAAAAGAAATAGAAATGAGTATGAGGCATTATGTGCCAATGTTACACAATGGGCTGGTATAAAGTCTACTTTGGAAAAAGAAAAAATTATTTTATTAAAAAAAGAACATGATGAAAAACTTAATCTTATGAAAGAAAAAAATCTAGCTGAAATAGAGAATTTAAAAAAAGAAACCCAAGCTAAAATTAAAAAAATCGAATCAGAAATGGAGGCAACAATTGAGGGAATTTTGGAACAAAACAAAATAAAAAAAGAAATTCTCTTACTGGAGAAAGCACAGTTGGTGTCAAAATTTAAAAAATAATAAGTATATGGCATTGTAATACTAGTAGTCGTTTTGTTATTTTTGTTATTTTTGTATTTTTTTTATGTTTAATAAAATATTTTTTAATAAAAAACTCTTTAAAGCAAAGCAAAATAATTATTAATAAGCTGGTGTCTGACAACTTTATTTATATTTTAAACTCAATGAATATTCATGTAAGGTGCGATATTTGCTTCATTGACAAAAGCTATAGCAGCCTCTTCTTCCTCAGTAAGTGGAGGCTCATCTTCATTCAAAAGTTTGGCAATGTTTTCCAAAACAGCTGTAGCTATAACTACTGCTTCCACTTTTTCTTTTTTCAACCTAATCCCAAATGAAAGAATTGGAAATCGACGCTTCCATTGGCCAAACTTTCTTTCGATACAGTTCCTTGTTCGAATTTGGTACTCATTGAAAAGAAGTTCTGCTCTTGTAGTTGGTTCTGACAAAGGTGTTATTAGGTATTTTTTGACACCATAGCGTCCATCTCCTACCAACAAATGTTCTCCAAAATCTCCACGTTCAAACCTTGCCCCAATGTTTGAGTTTGCAAAAATGTGGGAGTCGTGAGTGGAACCAGGCCATCTACAAACGACTTCCTCAAACATGCAGTTTGAATCACAGATTCCTTGGACATTAATTGAAAAGAATCCTTTTCGGTTTCTATATATTTTGGCATCATTTCCTCCAGGCGATATAATTTTTATGTGAGTGCAGTCAACCTATGCACAAGGAAGGTTCCTTTTCTTTCATCTTCGTTTTCAGGCATTTTAATAATTTTTCCATAGTGACCCGCTAAAGCCCGCGAAACTTTCCATATTATGCGACTGGCTGTACCTTTATCAATTCCAATGAAGTCACCTATAGCTTGAAGAAAGCTTCCTGTAGCATAAAAGCGCAATGTCAATAAAATCTGCTGCGCCGCTTGTATAGCATGATTTTTAAAAATATAAAGAAATTTAAAATATATATTTTATAAAAGAAATATTTAGTAATAATATATATATAATATATAAAAGTAACATTTATTATCATGCTTACCGTTCTGTAGCTGGACTTATTTCATTTTCTATTAACTTAATTAAATATCGAACCCCATTTTTTGAAAATCGAAATATTTTTAAAAAATCTTTATCATTCCATTCATGACGTTTTCGTAAAAATAAAACTTCAAATAAAATTCGGGTTATGTTGACGTTAAACTCGTATTAATGGCGGCTCAGTTAAACCGGGAAACAAATACGATTTGAGCCAGGTTTACGCTTGAACTTGCTTTGTACAACTGAAAAACGTTTTTGGTTTATAATTAAACTACGCCTAAACTCGGATTGTACAACCGGCCCTAAATAGACAAGTTTGGCTCAAACAGAATTTAAATTGAAGTAAAAAGTTAGTTTTTCCTCTATGAAGTCAGCGGCCACTGTGAACAATACTAAGGTTTTAAAAAATGTCAGGCATTCTCACACTCTGTGTTAAGTGTTTTTAATATCTTACTGTTCTGTCTTTTAAATAAATCTAAAATCAAGTGTAGGCGCCACAAATATTTTTTGTTTAAAGCATGTTAATAAAAAGGTTTTAAATTACTTAGTAGACTTTGCATTTACAAAAATAAATGTATCTCGGAAAAAATTAATTCAAAAACTTAATTTTTTATCAAAAAATATAGAAAAACGCTCAAAGCCCAGAAGTAATATTATTGTATAAAATACTGTCATACATAACAATTAGGTTTTAATTTTATAAATGTTCAGTTATATTTTTGTAATTTACTCATTAAAACTATAGATCTTAATTTTGCAATCACACAGATATACTTTTGTTGTTAAAGTATTATATTGTGGATTTGGTTTTCTATTGGTAGTAAAAAGTAATTTTTATTAAAATTTCATCAATAAGACCAAAAAAATGAACATTAACTAAGAATTACTTAACCAAATAATTTCTGCGCGTTAAATTAGCTCTCTAGGCCACTGTGCGTCGTAAAGTAAATGTAAGGATGTAGACATTGTTATTATTTAACTGATAGTTGAATTATTTTTGTATTTTGAGAGTTTGAGAATGATTTAGGTAAATTATAGACTTATAGAATTACTAACGATGCATATTTCTGATTTTGTTATAATATAACTTTGTTCTGAAAATAACAAATTAAAACGTTATAATTCTTATTTATTTCCAAAAGCATACACGTCAAAAACTAATTTACCCAAATACCCAAAAAAAGCACAAAACAATTGAGGAAAATGCCATAAAGAAGATAGTTTCAAGAATGGTCTGTAAATATGGTGTGGCCCTTAGTTTATTTTGCACATCGTTAGATTAAAGATATTTGTTTTTGAAAAGCGGATTTCAACTTCCTAATTCACCAAACACAATAAGATCCATAGTTACAAATTTTGCAAACACCGTTAAAGCTGATGTTTAATCTTAAAATTAAACAATAATTATTTAATTGACCTACTTCGGTCATCTAAGCGAACAAACCGCGTCAGCAATAACATAACAAAATACAACCTTCTAACATTAAGATGTTTGTAAAATAAGTATGTAAAATAAAATATCCCATTTGTATATAAGGAAACAATTTTATAATTAAAGTCAGTATTAACAAGACTATTGTGTTTTACTCAACTACCCACTAGTTTCCAAGCCTTAACTGGAGCGTGAGGCTGCGCTCCGCTAGTGGGACATTATTACAAAGATTCGGGATCCTAACTAAGATCCGATTCTTTTCATGGTCCTTCGAACCTAAAATTGTACCAGTCCAATCCAGAAGTGGTGCAGTTTCATATCTAAAAAATAATCAAATCGACACAACTTAAGATGACGAACACAAACCCAAAAATGAACGAGCTGGTGGCCAAACAACAGGTCACTGGGAAGGCCATCCTTCAACTATACACCAACATGAAAAAAGATTCAACCTCAAGAAAGTCAACTGAATACTTTAAACGCCGCACTGAGGCGTTGAACGAACATTGGGCCAATGCGGAACAAACTCATGCCGAGATAATTAAAATCAAAGAATTATCTCATGAATATTGGACATTAAAATATTATAAACAAATCGAAAAATCGTATCGGGACTGTTATAAGTACATTCAGGACTCAACAACATGTATTAACGAATCCAGCGAAGACGAAGATACACGAGTAAAATACCAGATGCAACGCATACAGGATCTTCAGCAAATAATGAACAGAATTGACGACGCATTAGCCCATGACCAGACTATAGATAGGTACGAAATTCTGTCTGAAAAATTAATTAATCAATGGCAAGTAATAGTATCAGCACATTTTGAAATCCGAGCCGACGACACACTATGTCAGGCATCGTATTTCACGAACAACACGTATACACTAATCGAAATGGAATGCGAAGACCGCATTTGTGACCTACGACAAAAAATACGTAGGTTAAAACAAACAGAAAGCGACAATGATAGAAGCACATCAATCAAACTACCACAGGTCCAGATTCCAGTTTTCGGAGGTAATTACGAGGAATGGGCCAATTTCGAAGACATATTTACGCAAATAATCCATAACAACCGACGCTTGTCCGACGTAGAAAAAATGCCGCATCTAAAAACTCACCTTAAAGGTGAAGCAGCGCGTGCCATTCAACATTTTCCCATAACAAATGCTAATTACGGAGCAGCATGGGAGCAGCTTAAAAAAAGGTACAATTACAAGAGGTTAATATTAACAAAGTTACTTAATAAAATGATGGAGTTCCCGCCAATTCACCATGAATCAGCTAGAAAACTACAAGAACTCCACGACACCATAAGTGAATGCATGGCTGCAATTAAGCTGATGGGAATAAAAACAGACTCATGGGGTCCAATAATAAGCTGTTTGATCTCGAAAAAATGGGATGCTGAAACAAACAGGTTATATGAGTCTTCTATCGATGATCCGTTGGTAATTCAATGTTTAGAAGATCAAATCAACTTCTTGCGAAACGGTTTTCAATCCTTAGAGGCAACACCCAGCAGTCCCAGATTGACGGCGACAATTGCAGTACAGAACAAGAGGCAGCAGCCATTTCATGGGCATAAGATCGTGTGCAGTTTTTGCCAAGACCAGCATACGATAAGTTATTGCCCAAAGTTCAGGGGCCTGTCAGTGACAGCACGGAGCCAGGCAATAAGAGAAAAAAATTTGTGCATTAATTGCCTATGGCATGATGCAGCTGCAAAATGCACATCAGAAAGAAGATGTGCGGTGTGCTCGAGACGTCATCATACGCTCTTGCACTTTGAAAAGACGGAACAGAAAACCCAATCAAAGGTAGACAACCAAAAAAACAAGGCAAGCAACCACGTGGGGAATCAGAGTCCAATAGTACTACTAGCAACCGCACTCATTAAAGCCAAAACAGTGCCATAGAGTATGCACGAGTACTCATCGATCAAGGCTCTCAAACATCCTTGATCACGGAAGAAGCAGCAACCCTATTAGCCCTTCCAAGGCAAAAGGTATCCACAGACCTATCAGGTGTTAGAGATGGGGACATAAAAACATCAAGCCAACAAGTGACACTTACGTGTAGCCCAAGATTCCCGAGTACATTTAAGCTGACAACAAATCTCCTAGTGCTACCCAAACTAACAAGGACACTGTCTGAAAAAAGTTTTGATATAGACATGGAACAATGGCAGAACAAAGTATTGGCTGATCCAACGTTCAACAAGATGGGACCCATAGACATTCTCCTAGGAGCTGAAGAAGTGGCGAAAATACTGCTGGACGGAGTGCACAAAACATCAAATGGATTTCTTGGCCAAAACACAGAATTTAGATGGATAGTGTCCGGGGAAAATCCTAGTCAAGATTCTAACATAAAAATAGTCAGCATGACCGCCAGATACGAACTTCAAGAAGTGACATCCGACCGCATTCTGAAGAAAGAAGACCAAATGGTAGAAGATCACTGCTCCGAAAATACAAAGAGAAACCAAGATGGAAGATATTTGGTCAGAATACCCTTT